AGAATTTGCAAACCGAGGGGTTGAATTCGTTAACTTCAAGTTGTACATGTGGTGGGAACATTCCTTGAAAATTTCTGCCTCCTAGCTTTTCAGGCTCCCGAGTTGGCCGTTTTCCTGCCAAAAAATTTCACTAGACGGTGCGCGAGTACCACACAACTGAGAAACTGAGTCTGATAATTTTAAATTAAACTTGCGCTGTGAGCATTCCCTGCAAATTTCAGCCTCCCAACTTCCCGGTTCCCAAGTTAGCAATTTTCACGCCAGGAACCTCGGGGAGGGGGACCATACGCGAGTACCACGCACACCTGTGGTCTGAATTTGAAATCTTTGAGTTCCATATGGACGGGAAACATAACTTCAAAATCTCAGCTTTCTAGTTTTTCTGGTTCTTGAGTTAGCGATTTTCCTGCCGAAACTTTGACCCTGTCGTACGCGGGGCCTAGACTTGCGTGAGGGATGGTATCGCGGTCCTGGGGTGGCACATGGCTGGGGAACTAACCAGAAAATTTCGGCGCGGGAACTTGCTTGGGTGCCGAGTTGAAATACCCAGACAGACAGACAGACAGACAGACACACACACACACACCGGGGTCGTCGTAATATGCGTTTTCGCATTTGCATATATGCGAAACGCATAAAAATGCAAATTTCGTTGGTAGTAAACAATTTTGCGAAACAGGCATGTTAGAAAGCTGAAACTTTACAGGGATACTCTCTATGCACGTGTGAGCTAAAGATTTTAAACTCAGCTGTCCAGCACGCTTGTGAAGCGCGTACGATCACGTCAAAGTTGAAACTTGGGTACTATGCTAACTCGAAGACCTTTGCCGAAAAACAGTGGCTGAAATTTTGTCAGGATGTTTGTCTCCCAAATAGAAAGAAAGTATACATGAAATGAGTACTGATTTGCACTTACTCCACGATTTAGAACACTTCACAAACATTTGTAGTGTAAAGTATGGTGTCTCATTATACAATCATATAATATTTTTTTTTCTTTTCTCTTCTTTTGGCCTATGAGTCAGGAATGCCATTTGCATTCCTTTACAATTTTCTGCGTTTTCGTCTTTCCTTTTTTTACACCTGTAAAAACCTAATTATTATACATATGCATTCCTTTTATCCCGTTTTACACGTATTGTGGAATGCGCTTGCATTCCCAGCCGTTTTACTTTTGTTATTTTTCCTTTCAATCCCTCTTTTTAACCTCCTTAAAAACCCTCATTTCCATTTCCCCTTTTCACATATCGATCTACCTTAATTACCACTTTCACATTTTCAACCCCGCCAAAAAACTACCACATCCTCTTTTGGAGCGGCTCTTACGCCTTATATAAACCTCCCTATCATTCTTCGTGGTCTCAGTTTCTCCTTCAGCTGAGGACGACTCCCAGTCTCCTCGAACGTCGTCATCCCCGGCTCTTCAATGTTTTTGAGACGACTTCGTCTGGTACACTCCTGGGCCTCATCGACCATTCTCTGCTATAACAACTCTTGCTCGGCAGGCTCACAGACTCGATAGATTCCAAGCGCCACACCTCGTGCTGTTTATTTGCTGTTTGCACGATTCATCATCAGTAAATCATAAATTTGATTTTGCTTCTCTGCAGTGCGCGTACGCTCAGAGCACCGCGCCACACAGCGATCCATGCTCGTAAACACTCGTCCCATAAAAACTTTTACTGTAGCGAAGTGGATATTTCGTTTGTCGGATAAGCTGCGAGGCTGAAAATTCGCTGGAGCACAGCCTTAATTTTGCTTGGAGGTAGAATCCCATGCAGGTAGACGTGAGAAGTCCTCAACTTTACCGAAAATCAGAAACGAGTGCGTTTTGTAGCGAACGACCGCAATCACCCAAATATGCAATTGAACTTTAATTAATTTGCACACATGGATTTTTTGACAAACGATCGCTCGAGCAACACTTCCACTATTCAGTGAACTGGAAATTTGCATTTTTTCAAAAAAATTTGTATTCTGTCAATTTGCATTTGTTTTTGCTGTGTAGCGCTATAGCGCTGCTACAGCCAGCAAAAACGCATATTGTTGAGAGGCTGCCTGTGTGTGTATGTCCGGAAAGCGAATGCATTTTGTCATCCACTTTCATCTCAGCAACCAGGAAAGCTGGGAGGCTGAAACTTTGGATATATGTTCCTACCCCGTGTGTCATCCTCCCGTTTTAAGATCTTCCCCCATATGCGCCTAAATCCCGCGCACGAGACCCCCAAAGGTCTGTTTTAAGATCTTCCTCCATACGCGCCTAAACCCCGCGCACGAGACCTCCAAAAGAATTTGTTGACGTTTTAAGATCTTTCCCCATACACTTCTAAACCCCGCGTACGGAACCCCCAAAGAAATATGTTGGCGGGAAACGATTTCGCGAACTAGGCAACGTAGGAAGCTGAAACTTTGCAAGGATATTCTCTCTGCACGTGCGAGATAAAAATTTTAAACTCAGCCCTCTAGCTCCCCAACCACAGCCTCAAGTAGCTCCTGAACCCAATAATCGTTAGCAATTCGGAACTGAACCGCAATTGTATACGCGAATGAACATGGATTTTTTGAAAAACGACCGCTCGAGCAATACTTTCAATTCTTCAATGAATTGAAAATTTACATTTTTTCAAAAAATTTGCATCTGTCATTTTTTCACAAAGCCTTGCTAGTAGCGATCTGCGAATTCAGTGCAAAAACGCATGATCGCACCGGAGAGCCTGGTGCGTTTCAGCCTGGGTTGGCAGTTGCCAAATACACTGATGAAGAAGCCCATTGCATATATGTAAATTTCTTGCATGTAACAATGCTAGCACACACTGGAAAAGATATCGAAATGCTATTTCTCTTTTACAAATAAGAGCTTATTATACTGTAATTTTTGAATGAAGGTGCAATAATTTCTTGTAGAAACTTAGGGATGCATATCAAGGGGTTGGTAGGAACACGCGTTTTTTGCACATTTCCATCGATGAGGACCAATCCTGTGTATACACTCTACACGTGCACATGTAGCCTCAGACACGTGGGGGCAAGCACGCTTGCAGTTCAGTTGAGAGAGGTGGTAGATACACTAAGAAACGTTTGAATGCATATTTCACAATGCACGTTGGCAGACCTCGTTAATAAGCGTTTTTATGCGTTTTTGTTGTGCAGCGCTATAGCGCTGCTACAGCCAAAGAAAACGAATATTTTCGAGAGACTGTCTGTGTGTGTATGTGTGTTCGGAAAGTGAGTACATTTCGTCACCCACTTTCAACTCGGCAACCAGGAAAGCTGGGGGGCTGAAACTTCGAATATATGTTCCTAC